GAGAGGGGCAGCTTTGAGATGCCCCAGAGGGCATGACAAGCCCCAGAAGGGGGCACTAGTGCAACCAGTGGGTTGTGGGCGGGGAACATAGACCCCGGGTTGTGTGCGGGGTACACAGACCCCAGCCCCAGAGAAAGGCAGCTTTGTGAGGCCCCAGTGTGGGCATGATGAGCCCCAGAAGGGGGCGCTGCTAGGAAGCCCTAGCATAGACGTGGCGAGCCCCAGGAAGGGGGAGTGCACTTTAGAGGAGCCCAGTGTGGGCCCAACGAGTCCCTGAGAAAGGGGGGGGGACTATTGAGAAGCCCAAGGTGGGCACGGCGAGCCCTGAAGAGGGGGAGCGCCATATTGGGAAGCCCGAGACGGGCGTAGCGAGCCCGGCCGTAGGCTAGTGCGGCAACACCCCTCAGACAGAGGCAAGGTGCTGCGGTTGTCCCTGAGGGGAGGGGATAGCAGTGCGGTGAGCCTGGATCAGAGAGGGTACCCGTGTGTTTGGCCTGAAGGACCGGAGACCCGCTAGAGGGTCCCTGAGCGGGACCACACTTTTAGAGAAGGCCCAGAGTGGGCTTGACGAGAGTCCCAGTGAGGAGCTGGGTATTGGAGAGAGCCCAGAGTGGGCTAGATTACAGGAGAGGACCCGAGGAAGCGGGCGTGTATTGTGACCGGACAACGTCTATCCCATCAGCGAGGCTTGGGGCGTGGTATTAGGGGTTGGTAGGAGCCACGTGCAGCCCATAAGGCTAGGGTGCCTGGGAAGCACCCATCATACCGGGAGACCAGAGGAGTCCGGGAGAACCACGGGGACAGAGGTCCCGAGTAGCCGTGCCCAGGGAGTCATAGGCAGCCTCCCAACCATATATTTACCAGCAAGACGTGGTGGGTGAGAATAAGAGGGTGTCTTGGGCTGGCCTTGACATGGAGCGAGGGACCTCGAGGAGATCACGGCCCTCCTAAGGGACCCCGCTGTGACAATATACAATAGTGTCTACTGAGCACAGTCCCCCCTCACCACCAACTCTTGTACAAGTTACAGTGAGCTCTACGTTAAATACATTTTGACTTCCTCTTTACTTCCACAGCTGATATCAGATTATTACTTCTGATCTGATCAGATATAGCTGATATCTGATATTACTGTGTATCAATAAAATTTGTGTATTATTGAATGCAGAAGTCATAGTCCACCTGAAGATTTGGGTCTGCCCAGAACAAGGTATCTGCGTCATAAATCCAGTGTCAACAGTGACAAACTAAACACACTATTCCAGATGTGGCCTCACCACAGATGAATAGAGGGGAATAATTACTTCCCTTGACCTGAGGGCAACACTCCTTCCAATGCAGCACAGTATGCTGTTATCTTTCTTGGCAACAAAGGCACACTGTTGGCTCATATTCAGCTTATTACCCACTGTACCCCCCAGGCCATTTTCTGCAGAGCTGCTTCCCAGCCAGTCAGCCCCCAGCCCGTACTGATGCATGGGATTGTTCTGTCCTAAGTGCAGGTCTTTGCATTTGTCCTTGCTGAACCTCAAGAGATTTCTTTTGACCTCCACTTTGTCTAGGTCACTCCAAAGGCTGATCCCAAAGCGTTGTAATTGATGGGAGAGCCTCATCCTGGAGGGCCATCTCTAGTTATGTCCCTCAGGAATTGATGCTTGGAACCATGCTCTTTAACATATTTATTAATTACTTGGATGGGGTAGTGGAAAGTTCAGTGATTAAGTCTGCAGATGGTACTAACCTGTGAGGAATTACAGGCACATCACAGAATAGGGCAAAGATCCAGGATGACCTTGACAGACTGGATTTATAAACTGAATGGAATCAGATGAGGATTAACAGGGAGAAGTGCAGGGTTCTTCATCTGCATAGGAAGAACCTTCACCATAACTACATGATGGGTGGTGGTCCACTGGCTGGCACAGCATCTGAACAAGACCTGGGAAGATGAACACGAGCCAACAGTGAGATGAGGTTGCCAGAAGGGCAAATAGAACCTTGGCTTGCATCAGCCAATGTCTTGCCAATAGTTCCAGGGAGGTGCTCCTCCCTCTCTATTCAACATTGGTCCAGTTCTGGGCACTTCACTTCAAGAAGGATGTGGATAAGCTTGAGAGGGCACAAAGAAGGGCTGCCCATATGATTAGGAGCATGGAGGATAGGCCCTATGAGGAGAGCCTCTGGGAACTGGGCCTGTTCAGTCTGCGTAAGAGAAGGCTAAGAGGTGGCTTGATAGCTGCATACAAGTACATCGGGGTAAGCATCAAGAT